GGTGTTTTAATTCAGCAATGCCATAAATGCTATCTGTATCAATTCCCATTGAATATATGATATGAGCTCAACGTTTAGTAAGTAATGACTTCCAAATCAAAGGCCAACAATCAACATTAGACCTGGCAAACTACAACCCGACCCAAAACCGCACGACAAGTAGACATTTTATAACCCGAAATTCGAATACCCGAACCCGACAACCCGTGATTTTTTAGGTCGGGTTGGTTAGCGGTTGGACCCATTCCATTTTATATATCACTCCCAAAATGATAAAATCACTCATAAATTGGTGAAATGTTTAAAAAAAATCACAAGGATTTGAATGACATGTTTGGAGTTTTAGGATAATCAAATATCATGTGTTTATTGTAGTAGTATTACTCTTGTGATTGTTTTTTGATGATTTGCCCAATTTGCATTTCATTTCGTTGGCATGAGAGGATTTGAGAATATGCTAATTCACATGTGTTAGGTAAACTATTGTCATGCATATGTGAACATTTGTGTTCCTTAAGAAAATATGAAGCATGTTTGATATTGCTTCTGAGAACGCTCATAACCCGAAATGACATGTAACCCAACCCGAAACCGAATGGGTTGGGTCAATATTTGACCCAAAATCAAACAACCAAACATGACCAGACCAGTAACCGGTGACTCCAACCCAAAATTACCCAACCCGACCCGATTGCCAGGTCTAATCAACATATAGAATCATGAAAGCACAAGTTATATATTCTTCAGTTATAAATGAAAGCACAAGTTATATATTCTTCAGTTATTAAAAACTCAAGTGCATTCGATATGAGCCTTTTCATAACCAATTTCGTCATGAATGGATGATTTCAATAGCCCATTCATATATAGAGAATGAATTGCAGGGCGAGAAAAAGAAAATAGTACCACAGAGATTACCTATCCAACCTGTATGCCTCTAGCCTTCCACAAGGTAAAATGAACTCAAAGGCATATTTTCTATTTCTACCACATCCACAAGAGAAGAAAAACTCATACTTCATTCACCTATTTAATAGTGGGTGACATCCGACTGGGAAATCAAATCCATAGAAGGCTTAGATAGTGATCCATTTTAGTGGGATGCAACCTTGGCTTTACTATGATCGAGTGGCTGTCGTTTCGTGGTCTTCATTCGGGTTTAAGTTCTTAATCCTTTAACGACATTGGGCTTTGTTTGACAATCCATTATTTTCGTATGGGTTGACGAGCTTTTCATCTGGCCGAGCATGAGCTTAACTCGAGTTGGGTAGAGTTGGATCCGAGCTGAGCTCGAGCTTGGATGTCTACAATATTTTTATTATCTAATTTGATTTTAACAATTAATTTAACTATTGGGTAGAATTAAAGATTTTAAATACTTTGAAAACTTGATAATGCATATTATAAATATATCATATTCAAATGACATTCCGATCAACTGATCGGACAATAAACCAGTTAATCGGTATAAGATTTATCATCTACAATAATAAATATTAAAGAAAGGAAGAACTAGATGTTCATGAAAAGGTTGGGGGAAAATTTGAATACAAAATTTTTAAAATCACTTTTAAAGCCCAAAACATTTGGTCAAAATTGGTGAGTTTCTTTCAAATTAATATAATAACTAATTGGGTAAATTGCAAGTTTGTTCACTGTAATTACTTTAAAAGTTCACGTTTGCCACTATAATTAATATAAATTAGTTCATCAGTTCAAGTTTGATAACTGTTCGTTAGTCACCAATAAATTTTTCTAACGTGGTAGTCAACTCTAATAGTTGACCGTTAAATGAGTTACGTGGCAATTAAAAAATAGTAAAAATTAATATTTTACTTTTTCACCTCATTAATAAAATTTTACAAAATAAAAAAAAATAAAAAATAAAACCTAAATAAATCATCCCTACCCAGTCCTCACCGTCATTTGTAGCTCTTCCTCCTACCTCTTTCCGATTACTTCCAATTGCAACCCACCATCGTTTTCAACCTCAACCGAGTTTCTTATTCTCTCAACCTTCATCGTTGCGTTGGCAGATACAAATTCAATAGGGTTTTTCCACGACCTCAGCCCGTCGGGGCAATTACAAAGCAGACGAAATTTCTTGAAGATCGGGTGGCGAGGTGCGCTGAAGGAAGGGGTCCGACGGTGCCGCGATAGATCCGCCTCAACATACATTGGATTGAAGTTGGAAATGAGAGAAGGAACTGTTGAGACTTTTAGGGACGAGGGTATGCGTACGATAGCCCGAGACAGGGTGACCAGGATTGTGATAGAGTCGTGAACAACGTTTACTTTTCGAAAAGAATATTTCCACCCTCTACAAAGCCTTAAGTTACAAAAAATTTCTTCCGAGTATAAAACTATCACCAATTTAGGTTCTAGGCTCAAGAACTCTAAAGTATACCTAGAAATTTTTGGAAGAAAGAATGGATTTTGGTGTGTTTTTTCCATCCTCGATCACTCGGAACACCCATTATTTATAGCCATCGAACCGTTGCCATAAACCATTGCCTCACATGGAACAAACGCCCTTACTAGAGAACGTTTGATGTTTCATTGCAGTCAAATGGAAACCGTTAGTTTCCAAATGTCCTTATCCCATGCAATGAACTCATGCAACGAATGAATTAATGGGTGGTGACTTTTGGACATTTCTGTTGGGGAAATTGGAATGATGCCAAGCATTGCATATTTCGCATGGCATCGTGACCCTTTGAAGGAAGTTTCTTGTAATAACTATTGGTTTTCCCTGGCCGGTTCAAGATCTAATAACTTGGTTTGGCCGGTCCAATTGAGAACAAATTTCCAACAATCCTCCACCATTTTGGTGTATTAAAAAATCCATTAAAATTACAACATCCTTCCACCAAAACTTAACCATAAATGAAAATGTCGTGACGATTGAATTTTCATCTTAGTATATTACACTTGACGAATATTTGAGTGTCGATAACGATTGAAGCCATCTACTCATATGAATATTCGAAAATAATATATACTTAAGTTTCCAAACATCTAACCGCCTTGACACTATTAGCCGCCATGTGTCCAATCATTCTCATAAGCTCACAAGAAACCGAAGTCCGAGTTTCTTGAAGCGGCTACACTTCATGCTTACGTAGGCTGAATCTCTTATTTGTGTACCCGCTTAATACACTTTTTCAAAGATTCAATTAAGAAGTTTCGAACTTCATCCTCTTCTCTCATGCAAGATAACAAGCACATACCTCGGGATGACAAATTCTGATAATGAGCTTTCCACATTGAATTCAGCCTCTAACGTTGTATTAGAGGGAAATTGGGTATCCCATATTCAGAAATTATATGGACTTTAAACCCATCCCTTTCACAGACTTGATCAACCAAGTCATTAGTTAATCATTTCGTCAAATTATCGCAAGTTAGGTCACATTACATAGACACAATTCCATGAGTGATCAATTCACAGATTTTACAGTGCCTAACTCCCACATGACCATACTTGTCATTTTCACTTGTCTATATGCCTTGGCCAAAGGAGTATTACTATCACTAAGAACAGTAATAGGAGAGATTGGTTTTTGTCATAAATTAATGTCATAAACCAAGCATCTCAACAATAATTCCTTTTCTCTAAGAAAAAACAAGGCCACAAACTTTGACTCCATAGTGAAACTTATTTATGCAAGTTGCTTTTTAGATGGCCAAGATATGGCACCTCCCCGAAGCAAGAGGACCCATATCGATGTTGAAGTATCACCTTTAACATGAGTAATCCAACTTACATCAATAAATCCTTCCAAAATTGATGGAAATCCACTATAAGCCAATACACCTTTGAGATATCCTAGTGCACACATCATTTCATGTCAAATGATGAGCACTCAGATTTCTCATGTACCGACTTAATTTTTCTACCGCATATGCGATAACTTACATCATTCAAGTCAAGCATACATCAAGCACCCAATTTAACATGGAATACACCAGTTGTAAAACTAGTTTCTAGTATTAACCATAAGTTTCATACTTGCATCCATTGGAGGCTTTAACTCACGACAATTCCAACTATGGAATTTTTGGAAGTACCTTCTCAATGCAGAAAAATTGAGAGAAGGAAATCTTTTTGTCGTTCCGCTTGATTCAATACACATAATCACTTTTTCCTCCCTTATGTCTTACATGGAGAATTTAAATAACAACTTTTTATTCAAAGTTCACTTATCTTCTATTAGTCCCAAAGATAAGCATGCATATACATACAAATGTATGATGACTCAATTACCAAAATCATCATAAATTGTGTATACATTTTGTCTCCTTGGTTTAAAATAAACCATTAGACTAAATCACACCATCAAACCACTTAGATAAATCAAAATTTGTCTAAAACTTCGCAAGTGACGAATAGAGAATCAGACAAATTAACCATTGTGTATGACACCTACACAAAGACAATTGTCATTCTTCTATTTGTCCATTTATGAAGCATTCTACTTCTTCCTCATCTTCGAATGATCCCTCTTCCAAGTTACCTTCCGGATATGAAAAACACCATGAGACTAGTACGAAAAAAACCCATCTTCTACCGCCATCGATGAAAAAAATCATCATCGAAAATTCTCATAATTCCATATGCCGAAACCGGTTTCTTGCAAAGAGCGGTTCGAGCCATCGTACCGGAAATATATTATTTTTCGATTGTTGATACTTTTAGGGACGAGGGTATACATACGATAGTCTGAGACCGACTGACCAGGATTGTGATAGAGTCGTGACTCGTGAACAACGTTCACTTTCCGAAAAGAATATTCCCCCTCTACAAAACCTAGGGTTACAGGAAATTTCTACCGAAGATAAAACTATCACCACTTTACGTTTTAAACTCAAGAACTCTAAAGTGTAGTTAAAATTTTTTGCAGGAAATAATGGATTTTGGTGTGTGTGTTTTTTCCATCCTCGATCACTCGAAATACCCATTATTTATAGCCATCGAACCTTTGCCATAAACCATTGCCTCACATGGAGGAGGCGACGCTGAGGCTGGAGGGTTGGGAATTGTACTGGCTGGGGTGGTAAGGGACGCGGCGGCGGGTGTTGTGGCTGGCCCTGGTGGTGCACTCCGTCAAGCTTCTGGCGTAGAGATCCCTAGCTCTGCCCAGCACCCGAAATGGGCAAGTATTTATTCTAACGAACACATTCCTATACTCCCTTGATTTCGATTTCATGGCGGCGGCGAGGAAGCTAGGATTGAGCAAAATTGAAGTTGGGAATCTGCAGGGGGTTTTCCGAATTCGGGTGATCGGGTCTTTGAATTGGGTTTTTTTGGAAAGAGATTAGATTTTGAAATGGAATTCGAGGCTAGAGGGGAGCAGAAATCGTGATTTTTGGGGATTTATGTTTTATTTTTAATAATTTTGATAATTAGGTGGAAAAGTAAAATATTATTTATTATTATTTTTTAATTGCTACGTCACTCGTTTAACGCTTAACTATTAGAGTTGATTGCCACGTCAGAAAAATTTAATGAAGACTAATGAAGAGTTAGCAAACTTGAACTGATGAACTAATTTAAGTGAATACAAATAAAATAAATTAATTTTATTGGCAAACGTGAAATTTTAAAGGTAATTCCAGTGACCAAACTTGCAATTTACCCATAACTAATCATTAAAAAATAACTCTATTGTTTGGACCGAACAACCCGCAACCCAATATCTTAACTCGAATAACTCGCAATCGGATCAACCTGAACCCGATTGACCCGCAATCCGATCAATCTACAACCCGATTGATCCACAACCCAATTGGCCCCCAACCCAAACTTACTTGACGCACAACCCAATTAACCACCGACCCGAACCTGCCCGATTGACACCTATACTCAGGACTGGGGAGGCACGTCTAATTGGGCCGCCATTGCGGAGTGTAGTAAAGAATATGGGCTAGCGAGGCTCATGTTTCTTATGACCGAGATTTATGTGGACTTGATCAGGCCTGTAGTTTGCTTGTTGGAGATCTGGTGGTTGAGTTAACTCATTAATTAATCACTGACAGTTAGTTGATTGAAAGCAGGGATTGAGGTAGAGGGTGGTGTGTCAAAAGCTCACCACCTCATCTCTGAGAAAACAGAACCGGAAGTAAAAGGGTAGATAGATCCATTAACTACTAAAATAATAAACTTCCCTCCCTAATGCTCCTCATTTGCAATTAAGAAAAGCCATTTTCACCCCATCACAGACTCGTGTGGTTGGCACTCTGGAAGAAAGAGTCGTTGGGGCCGTATATATGGCGGTGACGTTTGAATTTTGTTAGCGTGCAAGGAGCGAAGAATTCTTAATTATGAAAAGCTTAGAGTTTTGGACTTTTAGCTTAGTGTAATAAAGAAGAGGATGGATTGTTTGTTGGACTAAAAAGACTCGGCAACAAAAATTATGCATAATAAAGACAACATATGTACATCAATCAAAATGCACTTTGCAACATGCAGATGTGGTTGCAAATGTACAAGAATCAATTAGCTAAACTGACAGAAAACTGAGCAGCTTCATATTAAAGCTGCAGGTGCTGGGCTGCCTGGCCCTGTCGTGGCGTAGACCATGAGCCCATGACTGCTGCTAGAAGGGCAGAGGCAGCATGATGCAGCTCATAAATACACGTACGTGGAAGTGAAGTGGGTCAGCCAGTCTCGACTCCCAACTTGAAATAAATTTCTTTGCATGCCTTCCCAGCTAGCTAATTAAATGATGATGGGCGTTCACTTGGGAAACGAAGCCAGACGTACGCTTCAACCCATGTTACATCCTACTTTCGTTTTGCTAGCTAGTAATTAATTATAACTAATTCTTTCACACAAGTGGATCATCACGATTTCCGATTCTTTGAGGATTGAAAGATTAATGAACATGTTTCATACTTGCTGCTGCATATATATGAACGACCGTTAAGAATCAAAGCTATAACCAAATAATCAGTTAAAGAACCTGCAGTGCAGATAAACAAACACATAGGTTCAGAATGAAAAATTCTAAGATATCTTCTTAATTAAGTGGTCCTTCGGAAAACATATATTCATGAATTTGTACCCCGTTTCCATGTGTCCACCATGCCTTGCTCTGAATGTCCGTCACATAGATTTACATATTAGATATGATGTTTGGAAGATTTACATTTTATTATATTATTAATAACGAGTCAAAAAATAATGGTAACGTTGTAGTCGGTGACCGTAAGGATTAAACTAAGAATACAAAAAAGAATATTAATGGAGAAAAGGAGAAGCTAGCTAATCTTAAAAAGAAAGCCATTACCTGCTCGATCAAAGTCTTGCAATTTACGTCAACAGAATAACATCATCAGCTCAGCTCCCTGTTTATAGAAATTTTATACTTTTCTGCATTTTCTTTTTATCATTACTATAAAGAGTTTGAATCGTTATGGTAAATTACATATTGGTCTACCAAGGGCGTTTAACAGGATGACAATTATTGTCCGTGTTTTTTTTTTTCTTAAAGAAACATGTTACAAAAGTGCTACAAGGGAGGAGGCGGAAACAAAGTGTCGTCTCTGGAATTTAAATCTGGGAGTTTCAGGCTCATAACCAACGACACAATCACTCGATCACGACTAGTGCTGGGAAAATAGACCAGACCGTTAGAAAAATCGTGATCCAAATCGTATCGTACAGTTTGGTCTGGACCGTAGATCGTTTTAGTGTGGTTTGGTCTGGTCCATGGTCTGTATTATTTTATATTTTGATCTCTTGGTCTGGTCTGGTCTAGACCGCGGTTTACCAGACCAAACCGTGGACCAACCGATCGACTTGTCAATACGTGTTAATAGCCACTCGATCACTCTCCCAGCTCCCACAACGACACCCAAGTCTCAACCTTAATTTTGAGAATTTCGTCCATCCTTCATTCACAACCACATTTAACCAGAGAGTAGAGTTAATCGTGTCTCCATATGACATTATGTTAATGTTCATAACGTTATCGTGCAAGTTCGGATGCTTTTACTTTGTATCTTTGTTATGTACTAAGATTTAGGGTATCAAAATTATTCGTGCATGTTAGGATTAATGTTTTAAGGCAAATAACAATTATTTTTCTTGGTTATTGGTTCAATTTTTTGCGTGGTTGACTAAACAAATTATTCATTTTTCTTTGAGTGTGGTCTATCTGGACCAGACCAGACCGAACCAGACTGCATAGGCGTGGTCTGGACCAGACCGTATAGTCTGTGGTATGGTCTGTGGTCTATACTTCAGCCTCTCGGTCTGGACCATATACCTTATATATGGTCTGGTCTAGACCAGACCGCACCGTTTCCCAGCCCTAATCACGACCTTATTCGCATTATTATCACTCTTCTATGTTAGCATGCTCACTTTTTTTTTTGTTGATAATGTTTTGATATCCATATTCATTATTAAGCACTTATAAGTGTTCGTGACTTATTATTTTTCAAAACTTATGAGATTATAGATCATGATTAATGTAAATTTTTTCGTATAGCTATTGCAAATTCAAGTTTGAACAAATGAGTTAAAAACTAATAGTGATGGCGAAGCCAGAAATTTGAACGAGGGGGGCTTACTTGAATTGTCATAATTAGGGGACAGGGCTAAAGGCTTACCGACTATTCTAATTCATAAATTTGTGCACATTTTACATGTAATTTTACCTATATTTCAAAATTGAGAGGGGGCTATAGCTCGTCGTAACTTCAATCTAACTCCACCACTGATACCAATTGAGATGGTTGCATATTTTTTGCCTAAATTCCACGTCATTTTACTTAAATTATGATTTTACTTATATTACCTCACATTTTAGCTATAATAAAATTTTAAATAGGTGAAAACCGCAATTTCTCGATGTTTTCCTTTATTTCTTGATTTTTATAATGAAAAAACCAATATTTCTAATGTTTTCCTTTATATTACATACCCATAAGGGTCGACCTGCACTGACTCGCACTCCATGATAAATTACCCGACATGAATCCCACCTGCCATGTAGCTAGTATTGGTATCAAGATACCCATCCCGACTTACCTTGTTTTCATTCCTAGATATGACACCAACAATCTAGCTACATCACTTAACAATTAAAAATCAATTATTTTACTTTCAAAACTAAAATTTGAATAGGATGTTTGTGAAAACCTCCTTCTACTCCTCCAAGTGTCTCCCCGACATTCTCTTGTTTGACCTGTAAACCTGATCCTTTTGTAGGTGCATTTATTGATACTTGCCACCACCTTCCCCTCCAAGTTCAACAAATGAAGGGATGAGTTGAGGTTACGCGGTCATGTTAATAGGGATGGGCAATCATCCTATCCACACTTTATGAATTGCACTGAATCAGATCATATAGAATATATTTCTATTCAATTTTGGTCCTATGAATTATTTTAAGTATGAAGAAAAATTGAATAAAATTGAATTTTGACCAGACTAAATTGAACAAAGCATGCTTTTGATATGATTCTCGTCCACATGAATCTTTTTTCGCTTTTGGTCCTATTATTGTTCAACTCCATTTGATTCTGGATCTGTTTACCTTAACTTTGTACGACATTGATTAATTTCAAAGGATTTAGTAGTTTTTATCAGGATAGCTTAACGTCAAGCATGAAATGAACCAGTAGTGGGATGAGTTTGGGGACTAAGTGCCCTCCCCCTCGCCTCAGTGGTCGGCCAGTCTCAATAGGCTAGGTGGCAAGACAACTGTGTAACAAGGCAGTGAGTATGAAAATAAGCCTCCAAAAACTAAGTATGAAAAATAGTACCAAGCTGACAAGACGGGTTTGGTGTTAAGCTTATAGGGTATCATGCTGGAAGGCTTATAAGGTATCAAGCCGGGCGGGTAGGAGGGTGACAAGGTATCAAGTTGATGACTAAATACTAAGTATGGACACCTAGAGGTGTAGACTTGTCAGGCAAGGTACCAGTCCAGCAAGACAGGTTGGTTAATAAGCTAACATGATGGATTTGGTGGCAACCTAGCACCTACAGGATACCAAATTGACAAGAAAACATGGTATCAAGCAAGCTGGCAGGGTACCGACCTAACGAGATGGCTTGGTGGCCAACGAGAAGGTTTCAAGCCAATGAGATGAGGTTGTAACACCCTAACCCGTCCGGGTACTACTTTTACTAAAATGCCCTTGATAAATAAAATACTCAAATCTTAAATTGCAGCGAGAAAAATTTTCATAAATA